AAAGTAATTCCTTCTAATAGGAGATACTTTTTTCAGATTGCAGATGCTCTTTACTACAACGGAGCACTGACTCTCAGCATATTGCAAAAGCTAGGTGTTGCATCAGAAATCTTCCATCTATGGTTCCTGTTACTGCAACAAGTTAAGAAGAGTGGAATGCGTGCTAATTTTAAAAGGTTTGTTATGTTTACCTTTTGTTATCCCTTGTTTCCATTTTACTTTGTATGTTGATATTGTGCTTCCTTACAACAATATATAGATTGTCTAATTACAATTTGAATGTGTCTTGAGATGGAAAACTAACAACGTATGTGCAGGGAACATGAAAAGAAAGTATGCTGCCTTGGTTTGACATCATTACTGGCACTCCGTTCTGATCAATTACCGGCAGAGGCTTTAGGAAGGGTGTTCCGAGCAAATCTTGATCTTCTAGTTGCATACAAAGATCAAGTTGCAGGTCTTATGTCTCCCTTGTCTCTGTAACTAAGTTGTAACATTCATGGGGGTTAGATTAATGTCATTTGTATCTGTTGCTTGGCCTAAACTCCTCACAGTAGTTGTTTTATAAGTGCTTAATTTTCATGTATTTTGTACTGATTGCAGAAGCTGCTAAGGAGGAACAAGCTGAAGATGATGATGATATGGATGGTTTTCAAACTGATGACGAAGATGAGGATGGCAGTGGTTTTGACAAAGAAATGGGAGTTGATGCTGATGATGGGGATGATGCTGATACTATCACACTTCGAAAGTGGGCTGAGCAGGTATCTGAAAATGATGGTCTAAAAAACATTTGCTTGCTTATAAACGAGTTCTATAGTATGTCTGTATGCATGTATAGAGGATGTGCAAGATGGATATTCTAGTAGTTCATCCTCTGTCCAGGTCATCATTTAACTTTGTCACGAAGTATTCATTGGATTTTGAATCCCAGTTAGTTAAATTTGAAATTTGGACTACTGAATTTAAAAAAGCGTTCATCCTTATGTGGTTTGGTTTTTGTTGAATTGTAGTTATGCCTATAAATATATTTATTATGAAGTTCAATAGTCAACTAAGTGTAGAGAACAAATGAAAAACCTAAAGATTAACGTTAAAATAATTTTCTATTTGTTAATTTTGAAACCAATCTTATATTTTAGCTGTTGTTTTTGTCGAAATATTTTATTGTTTACATTGACCATTTAGGCTCAGCAGTCTCTTGTTACACCTGCTGCCAATGCATAGTGAAGCATTTTTTTTCTTTTTATTCTCGATACCGATTTCTTTTGCTTTAAGGTCTGTGCACCTAGTAAAACATTATGGTCCATGTAAACACCCGGGTTCACTGACTGATCCTGTGAAAAATGCTGGAGATAGGATCATAGCTTCATTCAGTAACNTAGAATTGACATCTGATGGGCTGAATCAACCTTGGAAGCTTGCCCAAGTCATTATAACTAGTATTTAAGCCATAAATGTAGGTACTGTTTGGCCCAACTTTTCTTTTGGCTTTCCTTCCCCTTTAAAGGAAAAGTTTTGCCAAACACAAGGTCTTAAAAAGATGAGGACCTTAATTTTAATAAAGGAAAAAAGGGAGGAAAAATAGCTTTTAAAAAAAATGCTAACTACAGTAGTTTTTACTAATGAGCTGCATTCCTTAGTCTCCTTCTTCAATTCTTCCTGAACTAATTGATGATGTGGAACAATGAACCAAATCTTTTTGCTTAGGAGTTTTTAAGATATGACTACCAAACAACTTCTACTTTTTTAAACTTCTTATTTTTAGCTTTAACTTTAGAGTAGCTTGTAAGTAAATAGTAAGCCGGGTCAAACATAACCTTAACTAATGGGATCTTAATAAATTTGATACTTATTGTCTCTCTTCTAAGATATTGGTTTACAGAAATCTATATTTTGAGAAAATATGACATTTAAACATTTGTTTTAGGCCACACTACAGTGTCAATATGACAGCAGTTCAAGTTGGCCAAACTTTCCTTAGTCTATCAATAGATGCTTCAGCACAAGGGGACGGAAAAGGGACAATAATTGACAGTGGTACAACCTTGGCCTATCTGCCTGAAGGGATTTATGAGCCGCTAGTATCCAAGGTAAATAAAAGTGTTGTAAATTTCATAAACATTCAGGAGGTGAAATATGTCTAAATTTCTTTAAATAATTGTTTTCCTTCCTCTTTATTATTATAGTTTCCTTTTTATGCGGTAGAAAATTACCCTAGAAAAGGGAGATCACTGAATGTACAAAATACACAATCAATATACAGTTTCCTTTTTTTTTAACTGAAATACTTATGTTCTGTACATTACTAAATTTACATAACATTTTATCACACAGTTGTCTGAATTGCTTTCCCTTGTTAGATCATTTCTCAGCAAACTGGTCTAAAAGTTCAGACTCTCCATGACGAGTATACATGCTTTCAATATTCTGAGAGGTATGATGCATATAATGTATATTCATTAATCCTCATACTGTACTCATACTATAGCTGGGGGTTTAACACACTTTTTTTTTGTTGAACACACATCTGAAAAGACATGTGCGTGCATGTATATTGCATGCAAATGGTGTGTTGTTGTTGGCTGGGAACAAGCTCAGGTGTTTTAGTAGCTTACTTTAGTATAGTTTTTTTGTTGTATGGTTAGTTTTGGAAGGAAGGGCCTAAGTATTGTGGTTTTGATAATGGTGGTTGTTTCCAAACTGTTATAGTTTCTCTTAATTGTGGTGTTCATGGTGCGTGACATGTCACAAAAATGGCAGGGAGGTGAGTGCTTGTCTATTCTTCCTAAGGTAGAATTGCCCTTCAACAATGTGTGGTAAAGTAATAAAAAGATTGGAGGAAAACAGATCAAAAAGTGGTTTTGACTTTTGACAAATTCTATTCTACTTTGATCTCCTTTGAAATTTTTCTGGTGATAAATCTTTTCTGAAAAGGGTGAAATCACCATTAAGTTAACCAGACCAGCTCCTCTACTATGAACTCTGTTCTTCGCTCACTCATTTCATGTTTTGTTGTTAACTGGTCACCATCCTTCAATATGGCAATTGTAATGCCATGTTGGCATTGTTTAAAATTTCTGTCATGAGCATTGGCTTCTCTACTGGTTGTTGGTGTTTGAACCTATATTCCTGAATCTTCTAGTAGCTTTTTTTTGTGGCATAGCAAGTTTTCCAGGATAGGACCGCTCACTTTCCACTTCTAAATTGTGCTTGGAAAATTTTTCCTGTTCCCTTTCATAGATTTTCCAATTTGGTAGATGTCTTATCCTTCTATTTCCATTTTGGTAGATGTGTTTTCCTCTTGTAGGACTCAGTAACGATTGTCTGTTCTGAAATTTCTTCTTATAATTATGTTGCTGGTTTTAAAGTATTGGTTCGCAAATTGTTTTATGATATTTATTGATTAGCTAATTCTTACCTTAACCTGCAATACCTGGTTTGTGGTTTTATGCTCTTTTTTGGTTTGCTCTGTTGTACTGAATTCTATTGCTTTTGTCTTTTTTTAGTGGTGTCATCTTTAGACCTTGAAGATTTCTTATCCTCTCCCTGTATCTTTTTTTTTTCTGACAATTTTTTTCTTGATAATAACAATAATATCAACATTAACGTGCAGTCTATATTACATGTTAAAGGAGTTTGTCTAGGAAATCTTTGGGTTTGTAGTCTATTTGCCATTTCAAATCTTATTCTTGTACTGGAAAGACTTTTGGAAACCACTCAATCACTAATTAAAGATGACCAATTTACATGATTCATTAATGTTGTGCATTGAAAACAACTACAAATTAATACATTTTTACTGTGCTTGACATTACATTTTTCAGAAATTATGTTTAATGGTTATGTTTTTGAAATATTAAGTTCTTAATTTTTTGATGTTTTAGTCATTATTTCAACATGAGACTGTTAATGTAGCAATTATGCAACTTTTTCAATGTTTAAAATATTTTAATATAAAAAGTCTAATTTTCAAGTACTATAGCCACAATAACACACTTTATTACAAAAAGTTAACAAACAATATTGCATCATATTATTTGAATTTTAATGTTAAAAATGTTTTAAATATACTCCTTGCAATAAAACAAATTTGTTCCATTTTTCATTATTTATGGTTTCTAATTTTATTAGATTTCTTTTCAAAGGAGACATCCCATCTCTAGTAGTAGTTAAATACAATTTTTTTGTAATACACATCGATGAAGTATTAAAATTGTTTTTTTGCAAATTCTCTTCTTAATCCTAATATACCAAAGCTTTGTATTTTATTTTTGTTTTCATTTTTAAGCAATCTTAGCTAGTCTTGTTTTGTGCCGTGTTCAATCTTTTTAAACGATTCATGTCACAAATGAATTTAAATATTAATATAAAATTTGAAAATTTGTTCATTTTCGTGTTAATCAATCAAACAGTTCTTGATCTCAAAATGGATAATTTAATAAATAGGTACTTTTTGAAGGTGTTAGTAGATACTTTCATAAATATCTCGTGATTTATATTCAAAACAAGATTCAGTTTTTACTTCAGTAACATTTACAAAGTGAAATCACTTTTATCTACTTATATTTTCTGAATTTTTTAGGAAATAGATATCATATTACAAGATTTCATGTGAAACTGTATGCAATATTAATTCTAAAGTATTCAATAATTATATCTTTTTTTAACTCATTATGTGTGGTACCCGATAATAATTCTTCATTTTACTTTTAGAACAGTTTGTATCTAGTTATAGATAAATAATTTTTTCATTGGGTTATATTATGTTTCATTATTTTTTTCTCATATTTTGATTCATTAATCTTTTGTAATAATATCTTTAGTACTTTCTAAAAATTTACGATTTGAAAGTACCACATTTATTTAATTTAATTTTACGGTTCAAGGTGCAGGAAATATGCTGCTAGTAAGGTAAAATGGCATTTGTCTCCCACACTGCTATCGACTATGTTAAGATAAAATGTATTTTTTCGTTAAGGTGTAAACTTATATTATTTTTGGAGAATTAACCTATAAATTGTGTCGTTTGATTCTAATAAATAATATACGAACTCTGCTGACTTCTGGAATTGACTGATGCCTTCCATGACGTTTCGTCAGTTGAAGTTACAATATTTTGTAGATTTAGTTTTTTGGACTTTCTCATTGAGTATGTATTATTGGAGTGCTTTGGTAACTGGACTGCCCCCTTTGTATACGCTATGCCTTTATGTCTGTATCAGTTTCATTCACGGATGTAATGGCTACTGTATTTATTGTTGCAGTGTTGATGATGGATTTCCAGCTGTCACATTTTATTTTGAAAATGGACTCTCGTTAAAGGTTTATCCACATGATTACTTGTTTCTCTCTGTAAGTATATTGCAAGTCTACTTGATCTTTCTTTTGTTGCGGTATATGAGAGTTTTATTTGGCTTGTTTTTGGACCTATTGTTGTCAGCCTTCTGACGTTATTTGTTGTTTATGCCTCATTTTGGTTACCCCTTTCTCAAGTATAGCGTTTAGTTGTGTTTGGGTCTGCATTCCAACTACAATTACTGATTATGGTTTTAGAATGCCTGTCTGTAGTATAGGATGAGACAGAACAACACATAACTTTGGGTTCTATAATCAGCGTGACATTTTTTAATTAATATTTTGAATTTGTTTTTATGATCGTGCTTTTGGAACTCTGGTATTTGCTACTTGTGCGTTTCAATAATGTCATAAATTTGTGTACAACACTTTTCTGTTGAATGTGCTTTGGGTGGATTGCATTTGGACAAATGATACTGTTGTTCACCTAAAAGTAATTTTGTTGGAATACACTATTTGGATGTATATACCCTGTAAAAAGAATTTTAAGTGTGGAAGTAAGTTTATAAAAAAAAAAAATACATTACAAACTGGTCTAATTCTTTTGTCCCCAATTATAACCCAACTGCATCGTCCCCTAACAGTAACTGTATTCTGGACTTAAGTAAGTTAAAGTTGCTTCTACCTAAAGTATCCACAGTGCATATTAAAAACCTTTTGTATTCCATCTACACCGAACTTATTTTTGAGTTCCGGAATGAGTTCTGGAGTTGCAATTGCAACACAGACAGGATTATCTTTTCTTAGCCATATTAACCATTATTTTGTCATTTTAGATTCTCATAGTAGTTTTTAAAATTATTTTTCAAAACACTCGGTAATTAATGTGCAGTACTTCTGAGCATTTTTTTATTTGTCAATGATTTTTATATTCAAAATCTTTATATACCATACTATGAATTAAATACTGATATGCATCTGCAGGGAGATTTCTGGTGTATTGGTTGGCAAAATAGTGGGACACAATCAAGAGATAACAAAAATATGACCCTATTAGGAGGTATTCTCTTCAAATCTTTTTCTGTACCTGTAAACATTTGCTGCTAATTTTCTGAACACTGCTTCCAGCTTTAGAATGAGTCTGCCATAGCCATTATAAGAGGGAAGAAAGGTTGAATTTTGTAACAGCACTTTGGGATGTAATATTTTTTAACCTGGTTAAATCTGATGTCTGAAATAAACAAGACAAATATACCATAAATGCATATCGTGGAACATATTTTGTGGGATAACTCGAGTTTTTTGACTGGGTCTATATTATTTAATCATATCATCACATGAACCTCTGAATGGGCCAACTACTTTTTCCAGAGGTGAAACCTGACCACTTGAAAGTGAAACTTGAAATTTTAATCAAACAAACGCGTTTTCTGGCTCATTTGGTGAATTAAAGTGCTGGTGGCCCTCTCCTGTTTATGTTGGGATTTTACTTTGGGGCCTTGGCCTTTAGCCAGATATTTGCCCTGCTAGTGTTGAACACTTTGTGCCATACTAACTTAAATTCCCTATTGAGTCTGATGTGGAACAAATGTTTATGTACTGGAGATAAAATTGCTGGGTACTTTACAACCTAAATATTCTGATAAATGTATTATTTTTAATGGTGGAAGAATTTTCCTGGTAGTTTTTTTTCTTGATGTAAATTATAGCTAAATTATTATCAGTAATCATTTTGGATCTCCAGAAAGTTTGCTTTCCATGACCTTACTCTGCAGCTTCATCTATATATTTATTTGTTGCAGATTTAGTGCTTTCAAATAAACTTGTCTTCTACGACCTAGAAAATCAGGCTATTGGATGGACCGAGTACAACTGTGAGTATCATATCTTAGTTCTTCATGATATTCACTAGTTTAAATATTTTAATTATGAAAATGAAAAAATATAAATTACGTAAAAGTAAATTTTTGTGGAAACATCTATAATGAAAGTAAAAGTAAATTACGTAGACATTTATTAATGTTTTATTTTTTTTTTCAGATTCTACATGATACTCTCTTTTTTCGTAATATTAGTTTAATTTCAGATTGGTTAGTTATGTATAATGGATGAGTTATAAAACAAGTTTACTTTTAAGAGGGGCTAAGAAAATTTGAAGAAATGAATTTGAAATGACTTGAATTATTACTTGGTTTTGATAATTGGTGATTTAATAATATTTTGGATGGTGTATCTCAGGTTCTTCAAGCATTAAAGTGAAGGATGAGCGCACAGGAACGGTCCATTTAGTTGGTTTCCACTACATTTCTTTTGCATGCGTTTTAAACATCAACGGAATGATGATCTTGTTTCTACTTGCTCTGCTACATACACTGGTTTATTGAAACAGAACAGCAAATACATATACTAAAGTCAAAATTATGGCAACAGGATTTGGAAATAGAAAGGACAAAAAATGCTAAGTGAGAAATTGAGTTTTCAGGAACTTGCATGATTTTTAAATGTAATCTTGAAGGGAGACTAGGACACTGACCATTGGGAACCTTCGCTGTGGGTCAAATTTTTCATCCCAATCCCCATGGTGAATATGTAAATTACATCCACCAATTGTATATGTTATTAGACTTAGCTTCGCTCTCAATGCCAAATGTATAATTCTCATGCGACAACCTACGCATGTAACGCAACTTTTAATTGCAAATATTTAAGTTAGTTATTGTTGACCATTCTTTGCTAGCTATTGGATTTCTATCATATTCAAATAACACATGTCTATAGAACCTTCAATTGAAATTCCTTTTTTATTGAATTTTCAACCTCATGTAATAATATTCAGGATTTCACTCACTCTATCACTCCTTTAACCGTTCTGTTTTCATGAGATTTCATTTGATTAAACAATTTATTCAATCTCTTACAATATTTATTTGAGCTATCTTTTTCTTTCATTATTTTCATCATCAAAATCTCTTTTAAAATATTGAAGCTTCACTGTTTTTAAATTTGAATTAATATTTATATTCATTTGAATTAGTTATTCTATTAATTTTACGTGACTTTTCAAAATAAGATTTTATACACAAACAATTACCTATTTTATTATGACAATCAATTGAACATCTTAACCATAGTCATAATTAGCAACCAAAATGAAAAGGAAAATCTACTTAAATTGTTATATTATTCTAAGTCACTTCCTTTTGTTACAGAATAATTGGAGCACTTTGTAAGTTATTTTCAACTGAAAAGCTACTTGAATAATCACATTCTCTAGTCCAAAAGGTATAATTTCTCTCTTGTTTTACTCTTCTTAATTGGTACCAAAACCAAAATTCTAAAGCTCCCTTACCACATCACAAATTGTTTAAAACTGTTTTCCACACTGTTCTAGTGCATATCATATAAGAATCTTACTCGCAAGGTGATAATTGTTTCTACTATATGGCTACTTTTAATTTCACTCACATGTATCTAAATCTATAACTCTTTAAAATACAACAAAATAAATAAAAATAACAAATAAATCAAAAAATAAAATAAATAGATAAAAAAGTAAAATAAGTTTCATGTACATGTGAAAGTAAAATAAGAAAAAATAAAAAAGAAATTAAAAATATCAAAGGACTAAAAAAATTAATTTTTGATCCACTCTAATTTTTTTTATTTAATTTAAATCATTTTAAAGTCAACCTCACTCACTTCAATAGCTTTTTTCTTATTCAAATTTTTGGTAATTAATACAATGCATTCTTGTAATAGTGGTATTAATAGTGATATTAACACCGTCACACTAACACTAACACATGATGGTGACATGATAATAACTACGGAATATTAAAAAAATAAAAAAAAATTGAAAATACGTATGTGACATGTTTAGACACATTGCTAATGTCAAATATAATAAAAATGATTAATTTTACAAATAGAAAAACTTAATTGTATGAAATAAAAATAGGACCTAATTAAATAATTCAAACGAATTGAGGACAAAAAAAAATGATTTTAGTCTATGTTTTATTTGAACTAGGAAAGAATGAAGGAGAAAAAAATTAAATTATTCCAATAAAGAGAAATGACTAAAAATAAAATAAAAAATTATATTATTTAATATTAATATTTTATTTGTTTGTTATTTTGATGATAGTATTTTATTATTATAAAAATATTAAATGTTAATAAAATCATTAATTATATAATTTAATATAAAATAAATATGAATAGATATATATTATATCGTTAATTATAGTACTATTTATGAAATAATTCATCATATTAAAATTTTTTAATGCAAATCTTTTATCATGTGAAGAAAAAAAATTGAGTGTTTCTTTCTTTTTTTCTTTTCGTAATTATATGTATTATTTTTGAAACTTTATATTTTTTTGTCTTGCTTTCTAACTTTTCCTCTACACACAGGGAGACTCGAGAAAAATGATATTCTGTTGTATTGTCTCTGATTATCATGTTGATATGTTGGTTACGTACCAACTAATTTTTTTTGTATTGTCTCTGATTAACTTTCATGATCAATTATATGTAAATAAATTAAAATTATTTCATTCTTGATTTTAAAGACGTGATCAGGCACCTTACAAACTAAAAATATAAAAAATACAATATAATATAAATAATTAATGTGATAGACTACTTTTTTTTTTATTTATCTCATAAATCAAATAAGTCATAATTTTCCACTAACTTGCATCAAATCAATACTCCTCCTCTGAGCTAAGTTCTCATTTTCCAATTTGATTTTACAATTGTTCTTGAACTCCACAATTTGGAGGCTGCCAGCCAATTGTTGGGAGGGTCCCTCAATATGCACAAGTTGCAAGGTTCTCAATGACCAAAGGTGCTGGGGAAGTTCAAACAAATGACGACATTTTATAATGAGCAGATGCCGAAGACGGGGCATTGCACCTTCCTCTAATCTCCATGACTTTACCCCTACGCCCTTCAAATGAAACACTTGAAGTTCATTAAACTCTCCCTTGCCAATATCAAGATTATGCGGTTCATCTTCCGGCATTATGTCTTCATAAAATTGCATTATTACTGCACCAAATCCATAGAACTTTTCTCGTTTCCAAATTTTGGTTTTTTCTAGTTTCAAAATTTGAAGGTTAGGAAGCTGACCTAGTGTCTTCATGAAAGACCAATTCAAAAAGTTTCTAAAGGTTATCTTGGTAAGTTTTGATGGAAGCACATTCTTGTCTGATGAAAGTTTTGGAATCTTATTTATTTTTAGACTACCAAGATGATTTAGGCTGTGTACACTTGATAAAAGGTCTACTTCATTACCACCCTCAGAAAAAGGTGACAAAACTAATTTTACCAACCTAGGAAACATGCCATTGTTGATCAGGGACTTAATTGCTGAACTCCGACCGCACAACCAAAGGCTTTGGAGATTCTCCATTCTAGTTCCTTCAGGCAAGACTGGACACTCTCCCCTTCTCAAGTAAAGACGTCTCAATCGTTTCAGCTTCCAAATTTTACTGGACGCTGTGTGTTGGTAGTTTACATCTAGTGTTTCTAAATTCCATAGGTTGCATACACAAGCTGGAAGACTTGCGACTATTATTTTCAAGTATCTTAAATGAATCATCCTCTTCAAATGGTAGGGATCCAATGGTGAATCAAAACCATGAATAACCCTAGCTAACATCAACCTTTTCACCAAATCATCCACAGACTCACTATCCTCAGTAAAAATGAACACCGAACGAGTGCTTGGCATTGATTTGTCAAATAACATGGCAGAAATATTAGATTCCGGTTGCCACTGCAAGGACAATCTACGGGGATTGGTATCACTCCAGGTGTCAATATTGGACTCTCTGCAAACATCCATAAACTTGCAAGATTTGCTCTCTGATATACAGAAATCACGAAGAACATCATGAACCTGACATATCTTAACACCCCCATCAGTCCTCCTATCAGTCACTTGCACTAAGCTTCGATCCACCAGCTCGTCCAAGTAAAAGTCACCTACTTCTTCGAGTTCTGTGTTTTCTTGTGGTTGAATGAACCCTTCTGCTCCCCACAATCGGATCACTTCTCTTGCACTGATCTTGTGGTCTTCAGGATAGATTCCAAAATATAGAAAACAGGGCTTTAATGTTGGAGGCAAGTTGTCGTAACTGAGCCTTAATATATCCATCACTTCATTCTTGTATGCAGTAGAATTCCAACTCATTTTCTTCATTCTCGACCACTCTCTTTGTGACTTCTCCTTCTTTGCAAAGAGTCCACCTAAGATCACAATGGCAAGTGGTAAACCCCCACAAGTTGCTTCGACAATGGATCTACCCAAAGGCTCTAACTCGGAGGGGCATTCTTCACCTCGAAACACCTTCTTACAAAATAGTTCCCAACTTTGATCTTGGGTGAGGAAAGGAAGTTGGTATGGAGAAGGGGTTCCTGCATAGCGTGCAACAGACATTTCACGACTTGTGATCAATACTCTGCTACCTTTGTTGTCATCTGGAAAGGCTCCTTTTATGTCATCCCAAACCCGTGATTTCCATATGTCATCAAGCACTATCAAATATGTCTTCCCCTTCAACTCTTCGGCTACCTTCTTCTTCAAATCCTCCTCGCTTAAATTTTCAAATCCAGAAAGATTTAAGCTCCTTAGGAGACTTTGGAAAAGCTCCTTGGGCCTGTAATCGTTAGACACGTTACCCCATGCACGATAAGGAAACATCCTCTTCACATTGTCCTTGTTATAGATCTTACGGGCAAGAGTGGTTTTACCCAATCCTCCCATTCCGACTATAGAAGCAAAATTAAGACGCACATCGTCTTTCTGGAGCTGTTGAATGACAATGTCGCTCTCATTCACTAAGCCCACAACATCTTCTTCCTCCACATCCATCCTCCTTTTGCGGCGCCATTCTGCTGAAACTGCTTCTTCGCTTTGGAATTCACCTTCTTTGATGCCATACCTCTCCTGGTTTTAATAAATATCATCGATACGACTCTTGATCTTCTCTATCTCAGCATCGACTTCATGGGGCACAACGAGTTTTTCTTTGAGGTGGAATAACCGACACAGTTTGTTTCTACGTTTGTGTTTGGCGATGTTGAGAATGTAAGTGTCCACCACATCTTCTGCTTTGTGGGCGACATCTCTTATTTGCGTCACCACTTCTTTCACCACTGCGTCTTTGTACTTCCCCTCTGAGCTCTTGATGAAGATATCCATGAACTTCAATTCATTACTCAAGGACTTTATTTTCTCTTCCACACCAGAAAGGAGCTTTATNCCCCACCCACAAATTATTGTACTTCATTTCATCTTATAATTATTCATAACACCGGTGTTATACTTGGTTTAGTCTTATAATTATTTGTTGGGTTACTGGTCTTTATTTATAATTTATTGTTGAATCTTTGAATTTTATTTTCATTCTGCATCTGTTGGATGTAGGCGAAGTCATTCCGGCCCAATGATGAGGATGATGATGATTCAGATGATGACTATAGTGATGATGAAGAGTTGCAGTCCCCAATTGACGATGTTGATCCTTTTGTATTCTTTGTGGATACAATCAAAGGTAAGCTAAAATGTTTAGTGTTCCCCATCGTCATCATAATTCTCGATGTCATCATGTGACAGACTCACCTTACAAAATAATTTTTACTGTAGTGATACAATCATCGGATCCATTGAGGTTTGAGAACCTCACCCAGACGCTTGAGTTCAATTATCAAGCTCTCGCCAATGGCGTTGCCCAGCATGCCGAGCAGAGAAGGGCAGAAATTGAAAAGGAAAAGCTAGAGAAGTCAACGGCTGCTACAACTTCCTAAGATTCTGAGTGTACATTAGTACTGTTGCTTATTTTATTCTCAAGTTCTCAGATGTTACCCATTCTTTAGGAGAGAATCAGAGGGTTGCCTATATTTGAGGCATTTGTCGGCTTTGTGATCGCCAGTTGGGGTTTGATCATGAAGAGTTTGCAGTTTTGAAGTGCTTGGAGATCTCTGCAACGAAGCCCCCATTGATGACTATGGGGAGGGGTGATGCATTGAGGAACTGTGGAGTTAGCACTTTCTCCAGGTTTTAGTTCAACTTATTATTTGGTGCTTTGGGCTGTGTTTTTGGAGTAAAGTGCCCATTCTTGCCAAGACTATGTTGCCCCCGCTACCCCTTCTTCCCTTTTCCCTTTCGTGGGCTCCTTTTATAGTCACCATCTATGTGCCAACCGTATTTATGTTTCATGGATACGACGAGTTCTGTAATATTTGTCGCCTGTCACATAGACAGGTATGTAGGGTCGCCAATTGCTTTATTGGTAATTTTTGGTGAGGGATGATATAAAAAATTTTGTTTTTTACACCCTTTTTCGGTCATTATTTTGGGGTTGAGAGTATAGTCCATGAGTATTGATCAATGTATCAGTTTTGGGTTATACAAAGCTTTTCAAGGGTCCCATAATGCAGGTTGTAATTCATTATATAATGTTTTGTGGGAAGAAGCAAATCAGCTCGGTTCATTATATACAATATTTTGTTTGCAATTACGATTATGCAACGCCAAAAAATTGTTTTCATCAGTGTATTTATATGCAAGTGTTTTAGACAGCTGAAATCGATATTTTAGTAATGTTATATGGCGAACCGTTGGAAGGCTGATATTTTTCATTGTTTTATTTGGTAAACTTGTGAGTACTATAAAGTAAGGATTGACTTTCTTAGTATATAAATCAAGATCAATCTGTGTGTGAATAATTCTAAGTACGTGTAGGAAACGGTGCGCTTTATATTGCTTGTCAAATTTCCAATAAACTTAAAGAGGACTTTTCCTTCACACGTTATGTTTGAACTCTTTGAACATTTAAGATCGAAAATCCGTCAATTTTGTTTATTAGTCATATGGACACCGTGTATGTAATATTCCATCTTCATTTAATGATTTAAAACTCTTCGAATTGTTCACTTTTTCTCTGCCGTTGTATACTCATTAAAATATAATGTTATAATAATTCATGCCTTAAAAATATATTCGTACTTTAGTCTTAATTATTCACCTAGTTACCTCAAAATTATACTTACATTGGGCACGTATAAACTTTTTACAGGGTTACACAAAACACAAGAACTTCAATCATAAAGGGGAAAGTAAGCCATCTTTGCTTTTTTGAGTACCAGAATGTGAGTCAATTTGTTTTACACAACTCAACCGTTTTTTTTAATAGAAATCAATTTGTTTTAATATGTTTTGATATATTGAATAGTTATACAAAACTTAAAAACTAAGGTAAAGAGAAATTTAAATCTATTTTTATCTTTCAAACTTTTAAACACTTTTTAAAGATAAAATTATAATAAAGTTTTAAGTTTTAAAGTAAATAATACATCGAATATAGTTATTAACTATAATGATATTATCTTAACAGACTTCAAATTAGAATATTAATGTTATATGTCATAAAGAAAATAATGTTTCATATATAAAATCTTATTTTTTTCTTAAACACTGATTGGGAATTTGAGTCTCACATCCTTTTGAATCAAAGTCATTAGAATCAAAGTCAATAACTAATTCCTTGTTCAACTTTTCAAAAATAACTTATTTTGCATATTTGTTATATATTGATATACTTTTCTATTTATAAAAATACAAGATGATGTTTATCTGTTTAACTATATATAAACAAGTAATCACAAACAAAAAATAATATTATAAAAATAATTTATATAATTAAATAAACAAATAAATTAACCATTTAAATCATTCAAATACTTACCAATAACAATATAGTCTTTAAAAAACAAAAATTATCAACCTATATAACTAAAACTAATAAACAATTATAATAAAATGGTAGCAAAAAATTATAAAAAAATATTATTAGAGAATTACAGATAGGTAATATATGGCCTACAGTTATTTTCTTCTCTACAAGCAAGTAATATATCAAGATTTTGGGAATATTTATAAATAAATTATATGTTTTGGTAAAATATGTTGTTGAATAATATTTTTGGATAAAAGTGGTATATTTTAAAATGAGAGAGAAAATAAAAAAAATTGTAACATTTATAAAATGTATACCATTTAGAAAGATCAATTGAGAGTTTTATAAAATGATTAAAATTATATTTTATTCTTATATGATTTTTTATTACTCTATAGCTTCCTAAACAATTTGAGAATCTTAATTTTCTTGTCTTGTTATTTTTTATTTTGTATTCACTTGTTATAAAGGCCTTTACGAACAAATCTTCCCCAACAAAACAAATCATAATTATATAAAGGCTACATACATAAGCCTATAGTACAAGATTAAAATTATCTCTGAAAAGAAAATACATATTTTTAAATGCAACAGAATACTTTCACAAGTTTTTAAACTTTTAATTAATCTCTTTATAATTCTTTAATCCGAAAAATATAACATTTTAAACACTAACTTCTGACATGAATTTGATGATAATTCAAAATCTGTTATTAATTTGCTAAAAATGACAACATTTTCTTCAACCAAAAAACAAAACTTTATTTCAAACAATCTTGAATCGTATCAAAACAAAAAACCATTTTTTAATGAAAAGAATGCCATTTTTATAAGGATTTGTAACGATTTTTAATGTATCCTTGACATTAACACGTGATTAAAAGCACGTTCATTTAAACTCTAATAATCTAAAACCTGTTTATATTATATCCACACAATAATACATTATTTCGTATATTCATAACTAAATTGTGTCTAACACGATCCTAACATTACTCAATAATGATTACATTCTACAATTAATAAAAGAAATTAACCAATAAATAAAAACTGAATTAAAAATATAAATTTTTTAATTATTCAATAAAAGAAAAAATTCAATGGTACTCAATTGAAAATACAAAAATAAAAAATTAATTAATTTTTATTTTATAAATATTGTCATTTTTATTTTCTATCACCCACCAATTGGATTCTCCATTCTCGTGCGGGCGCGTGGACCCCAATCTCCTTTTCCTCGTTCTCCCCTCGCTGGAGTCTTCTTCACTCTCCCAACAAACACAATACCTTGCGACGCTCGCTGCATCGCGTGACAACTACGTCCATGGAGATGCTTCCCGGGAGCAGAAGAACAATCTTCGTCTCCGCCTGCGTGTGGCTTCTTCTGTCACTGTTACCGTCGCTGTCACCGGCGAGTGTCGTTAGCGCCACCCACGGTGTCTTCAACGTCAAGTGCAAGTACCAGGAGCGCACCCTTTCTGCCCTCAAAGCCCACGACTACCGCCGCCAGCTCTCCCTACTCGCCGGAGTCGACCTCCCCCTCGGCGGAAGCGGCCGCCCCGACGCCGTTGGGTCCGTTCGTTGCTTCTGATCAATTCCTTCCTTCCTATCTTCGAATTTGATTCGATCATCTTCTGAACTGATTTGTTGTGTTTGTTGTTTTTTGTTTGTAGGCTTTACTATGCTAAAATTGGGATTGGAACTCCTCCGAAGAATTACTACTTGCAGGTGGATACTGGCACTGACATTATGTGGGTCAATTGCATTCAGTGCAAAGAGTGCCCCACCAGAAGTAGCCTTGGTGTAAGCTTTTTATCTCTTTAGGGTGAATACCCAGTTTGGTTCTTGATAGTGTGAGACGTTGTCATTTAGTCTTTGAAAGTAGTAGAATACATAAAAAAAGTCTTCGAAAACGCAATCACATTATTTTAGTAGAAAATTAAAAATATCTTATAGCTTAAGGGACCATATTAACATAGTTTTAGGAACACAAATGACAATGAATAGTTGAGTTTAGAAACTAAAGTCACAGCGTTGAGATTTATTTTGAATTTTCGTACTTTTAAAAGTGTATTACACTTCCGGGTAGTAAAATGCTGGTTTATCCCATGTTTTTAGTTTAGCTTAGTGTTACTTTACTGCCTCCATCACTTGGCTAACGTGGTTACCTGGGTTTATTTTGTTTCTGTGCATGATAAAATTATAATTGATTAGAACATGAGTATATAAGATTTATTTACTCATTTTGTCCTTATACATATATAATCTTTTCATGTTAGCTCCTACACTTACAAACTACAAATTTTAGTCGCTAAGTCGCTACATGTACACTTTTTAACTAATTTTTTTTCTTTATACACACTCTTAATTGTAGTCCTTGCAGTTTTGGATTACAGAGACTCAACTGGATTAAAAAGTGTGTGTAGGGACAAAAATGAGTAGCTTCTAGGTGTTGGGATTAAAACTTAAAGATGTGCAGGTACAAGGAAATCAGTAATTAAACCTAAAATCTATGCATTATGTAGAGTTTTTACAATACTTGCCCTTCAGAAATCATGCTAGGGATGATTTTAAAGATGGACACTATTACTTTGACATCCAACAAGTTTTTCTACACACACTTTGCATCCAGTATCTTACCCTTCAATCTCTCTCTTTCGAATTTGGATTCTGTGCTGGGTTTTCCTGTGCTGTTCCTTGCTGTGCCTTCAAAATACATTGATGGACGCCAATTTTGATATTTAAAAAATATATTGAAAATAATTTTAATATACCAAATGCTCAAATAGAAGATAACACCAAAAAGCCAGCAGAGAATCTGGACTCCTCTCTTTCTTTACAAATATAAAAGTTAACTTTTTTAATGACTAAAATTCCCCTCAAAGTGGGTTGTCAATCAATGCATTGGAGTCAAAAAATCATTTTCCTCAGAGATAGGTGTTGTTAAAGTCTACAAAATTACCGTACATGGCAGTTTCTGATTGGTTGACAAGTAAAAGCCTTTTACACTGTCAGGGCATGCACTATTCTTACTCTTAGAACACAGGGTCAATGTGGTATTTTTTGGGTTCACTAAGTGCTTGTTTTGTAACAATGTAGAAATCTAAATTGACTGTATGTTCACGGTGAAATCAACATAAAAACAACTATTTGTTGCTTCAGAAAACCAATGAGTGCAAATCAACATGTTACCAATTACCAAACACACTATAAGTAGTTGGAGCCAAAAAGAATAAAGCACAGAAGGGTGCTTTTTTTCTATGTTACATCCTCTTTAACATGCCAAACAGTTCCTTAGATGCATTCTAGGTCTGCGAGATGATCATTCTCATACCATATATAATTTTTTATTGTGCCTTGGTAGCAACGTGTTGTCTTCTGTGTGAGTCAGTGTTGTCTTCTGGTAAATTTTCTATGTGAGTCAGTGTTGTCTTTTTCTGTCCTTACCATGTATGTTCTAGTTGTATGCCTCCTCATGTTAACATTGATGTTTTTATTCATTTAATTTTTTTTTTGTGTATCACAGATGGACCTTACACTCTATGACATAAAGGAGTCATCCTCTGGTCAATGTGTTCCGTGTGATCAACAGTTCTGCAAAGAGGTAAATGGAGGTCTTCTCTCCGGATGCACTACTAATATTACCTGTCCATATCTGGAGATATATGGTGATGGGAGCTCAACTGCTGGTGACTTCGTAAAGGATATTGTACTTTACGAGCAAGTGTCTGGGGACCTTAAAACTGATTCAGCTAATGGAAGTATTATATTTGGGTGAGTTTTCATGTGGCAGTAATGCATGGTATTACTTTTAATCTGTTGCTGCTATTGGATATTAATTTCTCATAAGTAATGAACTCAAACCACGCATGCGTGTTTATAGTAATTTAACCTGATGCTTTAGTTGCAAACCTGAAATACCATAATATCTCATATATAGATATTATCTTAACATAAAGTGGATGCACTGGCCTGTGTGCAGGTATTACATTTCAAAGTGTTGAGTTTGATTTTTTGTTTCACTACAAATTTGGTCTAAGCCCTCACCAAAGCCAAAATTGATGTTGGTGCCTGGGAAAATACTTGGCTTTGGTTATAATTTTCAGTTGAGAAGATTAATAGTGAGAACAATGATGACGTTTGTACTTTTTGCAGTGTTCCAACCTGGAATTTACTGTAAGTTTATTAGGTAAGTTGTGTTATGTGAACCTTAGACTGAAAATAAATTTATGCAAAAGAGTATTGAATAATTCAGCAATTTGTCCTGTCATTGATGTATCATCAGAAACTATTTTTGTGGATTATAATTTACTGTATTTTATCCTTTTTAGGTTTGGGAAATGCTAAACTTGAATTTAATATCTTTAACTGCTACATTTTCAGTTTTATCAAACATACTGTAAATAAAATGGTTTAGTAAATACAGAGGCTTTGAATAGAACACCTAAATATGTGGGACAGTCCTAGAAGTGCCTTTTCTAATACCACCTGGATGTGATTCTGGAGGCACTTAGGTTGTAATGGCTTCCTGGTGATTATTATTATGTTGGATGATTTAATGTTGTGGTGCTATTTATAATTAAAATGAATACTTTGTAGGTGTGGTGCTAGACAATCTGGAGATCTAAGTTCTTCAAATGAAGAAGCACTTGACGGAATACTTGGATTTGGAAAAGCTAATTCTTCAATGATTTCACAACTTGCTTCTTCTGGCAAAGTGAAAAAGATGTTTGCTCATTGTTTAAATGGAGTAAATGGAGGTGGTATTTTTGCTATTGGGCATGTTGTGCAACCTAAAGTGAAGATGACTCCATTATTACCAGACCAGTATGCCATTCATTTAATACATATCGGAATTAGATTACTTTTTCTTATGTTGTTATTAATAACTCTTTTGGGAATTAATTCTTTAGTTTTCTTATCATGTTTTTTGTTAGTGTCCATCAACATTATATTTTTTGCAGATATTGTAGTATGTTTTCTGATGACAGAACACCGTTTTTTTATCTTTAATTTGGGCTAATTTAACCCTAAATCTAGCTCATGAGGCAAGGATTTCCCAAACCTTTATAAGCTATACTTTAGCCATATCTACAGTTGTGGAATCTCAATAGCTTCCATTGATTGTCACACACAAATAGTTTCTAATTCACATTTTGGCTTGTTGATTATTATCATTATTGGTTTATATTGCCTAAGATTTTTTAATCATACAAAAAGTCCTCCCAATTGTACTTAATAAAGTTTACTTTCTCGAAAACTTAAATTCCATGTGTATAGTGACTATGCAATTTCTTTTACACAACTAAGCCAGATCCTTCACATGAGTTCTGTGTTACCATAGAACCTATATGATGCGTTTGAATCACTAAACCTTGCATCTTTCTCTTTTCCGTTAGTCTTGTTTGATTTTAGCTGTCTTATCAAGTGAACAACATTTATCTATAATCTAGCTTGTCCCCTCTAGATGGTGATTAGAGACTTCTGGTAAAGACATTGGTGACATCTCTCAACATCTACACTCTAAATGGTGTTTGTAGGCTTTTTCGTTTAAAAGATTATTTGATGTCTGACACTAAAGGTATCATGGGTACTTAGTATGTAAAACTGTAATTTGAATGTGAAATGAATCTGATTTTAGTTGATCATGGCTGTTAGATTTTCTAATGGTGCAAAAGGAAGTGAAGTTTCATTGTTTTTCAGCAGCTTTCTATTATAAAAGCCATAACATTCTTCCCCCATATTCTAAGCAGAAAACTAGACATCTTTGATAAACGTTCATGTCCATGCTTGATATGCTGGACTTTGCTCAATTTCTTTATGAACAGATAGTTATGTTTACTATTATTAGAATTGACATCTGATGGGCTGAATCAACCTTAGAAGCTTGCCCAAGTCATTATAACTAGTATTTAAGCCATAAATGTAGGTACTGTTTGGCCCAACTTTTCTTTTGGCTTTCCTTCCCCTTTAAAGGAAAAGTTTTGCCAAACACAAGATCTTAAAAAGATGAGGACCTTAATTTTAATAAAGGAAAAAAGGGAGGAAAAATAGCTTTTAAAAAAAATGCTAACTACAGTAGTTTTTACTAATGAGCTGCATTCCTTAGTCTCCTTCTTCAATTCTTCCTGAACTAATTGATGATGTGGAACAATGAACCAAATCTTTTTGCTTAGGAGTTTTTAAGATATGACTACCAAACAACTTCTACTTTTTTAAACTTCTTATTTTTAGCTTTAACTTTAGAGTAGCTTGTAAGTAAATAGTAAGCCGGGTCAAACATAACCTTAACTAATGGGATCTTATAAATTTTATACTTATTGTCTCTCTTCTAAGATATTGGTTTACAGAAATCTATATTTTGAGAAAATATGACATTTAAACATTTGTTTTAGGCCACACTACAGTGTCAATATGACAGCAGTTCAAGTTGGCCAAACTTTCCTTAGTCTATCAATAGATGCTTCAGCACAAGGGGACGGAAAAGGGACAATAATTGACAGTGGTACAACCTTGGCCTATCTGCCTGAAGGGATTTATGAGCCGCTAGTATCCAAGGTAAATAAAAGTGTTGTAAATTTCATAAACATTCAGGAGGTGAAATATGTCTAAATTTCTTTAAATAATTGTTTTCCTTCCTCTTTATTATTATAGTTTCCTTTTTATGCGGTAGAAAATTACCCTAGAAAAGGGAGATCACTGAATGTACAAAATACACAATCAATATACAGTTTCCTTTTTTTTTAACTGAAATACTTATGTTCTGTACATTACTAAATTTACATAACATTTTATCACACAGTTGTCTGAATTGCTTTCCCTTGTTAGATCATTTCTCAGCAAACTGGTCTAAAAGTTCAGACTCTCCATGACGAGTATACATGCTTTCAATATTCTGAGAGGTATGATGCATATAATGTATATTCATTAATCCTCATACTGTACTCATACTATAGCTGGGGGTTTAACACACTTTTTTTTTGTTGAACACACATCTGAAAAGACATGTGCGTGCATGTATATTGCATGCAAATGGTGTGTTGTTGTTGGCTGGGAACAAGCTCAGGTGTTTTAGTAGCTTACTTTAGTATAGTTTTTTTGTTGTATGGTTAGTTTTGGAAGGAAGGGCCTAAGTATTGTGGTTTTGATAATGGTGGTTGTTTCCAAACTGTTATAGTTTCTCTTAATTGTGGTGTTCATGGTGCGTGACATGTCACAAAAATGGCAGGGAGGTGAGTGCTTGTCTATTCTTCCTAAGGTAGAATTGCCATTCAACAATGTGTGGTAAAGTAATAAAAAGATTGGAGGAAAACAGATCAAAAAGTGGTTTTGACTTTTGACAAATTCTATTCTACTTTGATCTCCTTTGAAATTTTTCTGGTGATAAATCTTTTCTGAAAAGGGTGAAATCACCATTAAGTTAACCAGACCAGCTCCTCTACTATGAACTCTGTTCTTCGCTCACTCATTTCATGTTTTGTTGTTAACTGGTCACCATCCTTCAATATGGCAATTGTAATGCCATGTTGGCATTGTTTAAAATTTCTGTCATGAGCATTGGCTTCTCTACTGGTTGTTGGTGTTTGAACCTATATTCCTGAATCTTCTAGTAGCTTTTTTTTGTGGCATAGCAAGTTTTCCAGGATAGGACCGCTCACTTTCCACTTCTAAATTGTGCTTGGAAAATTTTTCCTGTTCCCTTTCATAGATTTTCCAATTTGGTAGATGTCTTATCCTTCTATTTCCATTTTGGTAGATGTGTTTTCCTCTTGTAGGACTCAGTAACGATTGTCTGTTCTGAAATNGGTGTCAATGTATCTTTCAATAAGTTTGGTCCTTCATTAATTTTTTTTATTTGCTTTCATACAATAGCAGTAAATTATAAAAGTAAAAAATATAATAGTAGTAATACTTACAAAAGTTTTAATATTTACATACACTTGAATTAGTTTATCTATTATATTTTTAAGGATATTATGACTATTGCATAACTTTTAAAAATAGGATATTATACACAAAAAATTATCTATTTTACTATTACAATTAATTAAACATCTCAACCATAAACAACCTTAATAAAAGGAAAAGCTATTTAAATTGTGATGTCTAAGTCACTTTCTTTTATTAGGGAATAATTGGATCACTTTGTAAGTTAGTTTCAACTAAAAGGCTACTTGAATTATCATATCCTATAGTCCAAAAGATATAATTTTTCTCATGTTTTACTCTTCTTAATTACTACCAAACAAAATTTTAACAAATTGTTTAACATTGTTTTCTACACACAGATCTTGTGATTATCGTATATATAACACTACAAAAAAAATTAACTGATGTTTATTTTTATATAATTGAAGGTTAAAATCCTTGTTAAGCCATTTACCCGAAATTATAATTTTCGCAGACAAATCATTCGTTAAAAATGCATTTTCTAATGTTTTTCCTAACTTCTAAAATCACTAACTAATATTTACTTTTAGTTTCACTAATCTATACAATTCATATCACAAATTTGTAATGTAATCTTTTGAGTGATTTGGTCCATAATCTAAAAATTGTTCCTTCACAAGTAAACATATACTTTTGTTTACACAACAATTTTGTTCACACAACTTTTACAGTTTTCATCATTCTCAAACATTAGTTTAGTTCTTAAATCATTACTTTATGATGAACTTTACAAATCATTACTTATATAAAATGAGCTCATAATAGCATATTAGATATGAAATAACAGTGAACTTACCTCTTAGATACAGTGGTCGAGTTTCACCTTCTTCACTTCTTCACTTTTTGTGCATAAACATAGCTCTACCTCCTTTGCCGATTCAAGTAACATTAGGGCAACAAAACTCAAGTTACGTAATGGTATA